GAGAAAATGTTCAACATCATCAGTTATTTGAGAAATGCAAATTAAAACAACACTGAGATTTCACCTCACCCCAGTAAGAATGGCTATCATCAAGAAATCAACCAATAACAAATGCTGGTGATGCTGTGGAGAAACAGAAACTCTTCTCCACTGCTGGTGGGAATACAGACTGGTGAAACCACTGTGGGAATCAGTTTGGAGATTCCTCAGCAAACTAGGACTAGAGGTCCCATTCAACCCAGCTATTCCCCTTCTGGGTATTTTCCCAGAAGAACTGAAAACATCATATCACAGTGATATATGTGCAACCATGTTTATAGCAGCGCAATTTGTAATTGCTAAATTGTGGAAGCAACTCAAATGTCCATCCACTGAAGAATGGATTAAAAAAGTTGTGGTATTTTTATACAATGGAATATTACTCAGCTACAAAGAAAGATAAACTCGAGGCTTTTATAGGTAAATGGTCATAACTAGAAACCATACTCATAAGTGAAATAAACCAGACCCGCATGTGTAAACAAAATATTGTTTCACTAGTGTAAGAACCTGAAAGAGTGAATAAAAAGTAGGAGGTATGATAGACACTATGAAATGAAAGGAAAATGCTCAAAAGTAAATAACAACTGGGATGAGGGAAAAAAGAAATGAAAGAAGGGGAAAATTATGTATATATGTATATATAGGATAGCTAACTTAGTTGTACTACTGACTTCTATCCTTGATTCAATGGAACAGTTCATGATTAATTATATGATCAGTCTTAGATGTCTATATTTGTTTTCCTAAATAACCACTTTGAAGGTACCAATATGTAATACAACAACCATTGTTAATTTCCTAGCACCTTGTCTGAAATTCATTATTGCTTGTATTGTTTTTGTGTTATTTTGTACATGTATGTGTGTTTGTTAATATGTTTCATTCTTTTATTTAAAAAAAATACAAAAATACTACATAGAAAACTAAAAGTTAAGTTTTACGAAAAGCTGAGTAAAGTGGATGAACCTTTTGCCTGAGACACTGCAAAAATCTCTCAGTGATGAATGGGATAAATCAAAAGGACAAAGAGGCCAGGGTGAACAGGACAACTGAACATTG